TAAGTCGATGGGATTTTTAGTACTGTAAAACAGATATGACAAAATATTTTCTTTGATGTGGGATAGAAAAATAAAATGGATCCCTGAAGGATATTTCCATTTGCCATTCTCCCCCTTAAGCAGTGGTCTTTAGTTTTCTTTAATTTCATGATGGTGTATTATCCTTTATTGTCTAAGAAGGGGGTGCGGGGAATCCGGCAAACAAAGGAACTAAATCACAAAATGTGAACCCCTTTATTGTGCAAGTAAATCGTGAAGTAATGCCCCCTCCCCCCCCGGTTTCAAGAGGACTGACACAATAGTGTGATAAGGGTTTTAGCCATTCAAATAACCAAGTAGCGTTCATTATCATTTCCATCAATAAGCTATTTGTGCTCTCAGTTGCATTGAGAGCATGTATACAGCAGGCAACAGGCCCTATTGGAGTCAATAGGATCTATAAACATCTCATTGTGCATACTAGTGCCACAGTCTCAAAGGAGACAGCAGAATTGTGTTCTGCATTTGGAAATGATAGAGAAGAACTTGGATGCTGCCGTATCCTGAGCCAGGCCACTGGTCTATCTTGTTCAGTATTGTCTATACTGACTGGCAGTGACTCTCCAGGTTTTCAGGCAGGGTTCTCTCTCAGTCCTACCTGGGGATGCCAGGGATTGTCCCTGGGATGCCCTGCCTGCAAAACAGATGCTCTGCTACTGAGATATGCATAAGCTCTCATCAGGTGCTTTCTGTGAAGGGGCAATTTGGGATGCAGAAAATGAGTCCTGCCTCCTAGTTGACACTGGACGTGGTGGGTGCACTCCCTGGTCCATGTGTGATATCAGCATTCGTCTGAAGGTGGTTGCCTTACTTGTGCATATGGAACAGGAATCATTGCAGCAGGAATCCTGCTCAGTCAGGCTTCCTGTTCCCATGTTGGAAATGCTCAAGGGTGCCCAAGGCATGCATCATCATCGAGGGGCAGGGCTCACCCCATGCATTCCCATTTGCCCCTTTGGTGTTCATAATGAGCACCTGACGAGGGCTAGAGGTGCACATCTAACGGGGAAATTGTTTATTTGTATCTAGTCAACTGATTGCCACAAAACTGAAGTTCCAACAATACGAAAGCAACACAAGGGAACTTCCATAGAATTTCTTAAACCCAAATGAACTACAATCCAAAGAAACCTGAAATGCTGGATTTCTTTGGCAGATTACAGCATGCTCCCTTTAAAAGAAAAAAAGAAAAAAACCAAAACCCGTTCCTCTTTTGACAAATAATAAAATGAAACATTAAAATAAAGTAAAATAGGATGGAATAAAATAGCTCTTGGGCTAGGTCTTTCCCATTCATTATACTTAGCTGCCATTAATTAATAATGCCTCCACCGTTGGAGCTGTAGGCCTTTGAAAACCAGTGGTGGGGAATCACTGGTGGGGAGACGACTGCTATACTCAAGGCCTTTTTTCAGCCAGAACTTGCCGGAACTCAGTTCCAGCACCTCTCAGGGGGGCACCGTTACCATTGCAAGAGAACAAGGGAGGCGTTCATGGTGAGTTCTGGCACCACTTTTTCTAGAAAAATAGCATTGGTTGCACTTGTGCTCTGCTTGAGGCTCTTGGGCTTCTAACTGGCCACTGCAAGAACAGGATGTTGGACCAGATGGGCCCTTGGCCTGATCCAGCAGGGATCTTCTTAAAGTCTTATGCTCAGTTTTGTGGGAAACTAAGGATCATGGATACTAAACATGCTATCCCATACCATGAAGTAAGCCCTACTGAGCTCAAGGAGGCTTACTCCTTGGTACATATTTACATAGATCGTATATATATATATATAGTATATGTGTAAGACTGCAGCCTGAGATATATAAATGGCAGCTGCCAACACCCTGTACTACTTCCCTGACAGTAATTCAGAGCAGGGCTTTTAGTGGGGCTGCTCTTGTTCTGTGGAACATCATTCATATTTGTCAAAGCTGCCTCAAGTCTCAGCTCACAAAAGACCAACGCCTATGTCTTCTTATATACAAAGGTGTTTATTGCAGTTCATTGTTTGCTTGACATCCTAGGCGCGCAGCCTTACGTCTCTTACGCTTAGACCGCTGAAGTCCCCTCTGAATCCGTCCCTCCCCTGCACCAATTTAAGAGGCTTGCGCTGCTCCACCTCTTTCTCTCCTTCCTTTTCCGCAGGGTCCTTCTGCCCGCTGGGGTTTCGCCCCTCCTGGATTCCTCTGACGCTGAATCCCCAGACTGCTCTTCCCCCCTCCTGCGGGCTTTGGGACCTGGCCCCTCCTCCGGGCTCCCTGTACTTCCGCGCGCCTCTACATTTGAAACAGGCGCGCGCGCCAAACCTCTAACTTTCCTTTTGACAGTTACACTACTCCCTTCACTGCTCCCTCCCCTTCCGGAAGGGCGGCTTGCTCTGACCTCCCTCCTTTCTCTGCTCCCGGAGCTGCTTCCTCTGACACACTGGAAACTCCACCCCCTTCGCTGCACTCTGGTGGGGAGGCTGGTCCTGACGCCCAGCTGCCACTTTGGGATCCTCCGCTGGCCCCCTGCTCCTGACACGTCCCCCTGGGGCTCCCTGGCCTTAACCACCGGCGCCCCTTCTGGGAATCCTCTGATTCGCTGGAAAGACTCATGGAATCTCTTGAGTCATTGTCATCCTCTTCCTCGCTGGCTTGGAATTCATCCCCATCGCTCTCCATCTCCTGCCTACCCTGTGCCTCTCTCCCTGAACCCCTGACAATATTGATGCCCGCAATCTGCACTTTCTGGAAACAACTGAAGACATTTTTATTCTGACAGGCTTCCCCAGCTGGATAAATGAGTCTTTACCCTAAGTGTCTACTTTGTATGGCTTTAATTTTGTCTTAAATATATATTTTGTTGTAAACATATTTTAAAATAAGGGTTTTTTGTGTTTTTAAACCATTCCCCCCACCTCACCCCATTTTTTAATTGTGCATCATGTTGAGACAATTGCATAGCTGGCAATTAATACGTTCACAGCAACAGCAACAATTCTCTCACGTTTTAGCACGATCAAAATAAAGAAAATGAAGAAACCAGAGCATTTGGGCTACAAGTGGGTAAAATGGTCAGGGAACCTCTGGCTCTCCACATATTGTTGGACTGCCAAATTCCACCAGCCCATCCAGCATGCCCAGTGGTCAGGAAGGATAGAAGCTGTAGTCCAGCAACACTCTCTATGGAACAGCTGTAGTCCAGCAACATGGGAACAAAGGTTCCCATCCTTGCCTTAAAAGGATGGGGCTAGGCAGGCTGAAGTCAGGTGTGCCAACTGGGGGGAGGGCAGGGGCTGCCCACCCAAAATTTTCAATGAGGGGGCTGGGCCCCTCAAAGTTCTGTGGCAACGGTGTGCACACACTGCAGGGCATGCTCACATCATGCGTGCAAGCCACAGGGCGGCAGCTCGACACATCTGCATGCCCTGCAGTGTGCACAAGTGACATGAGTACGCCGCAGGGCATGCACGCATGCTGCGGGGCATGTGGATGTCATGCACACATGCCATGGGGTATGCTGACGTCGCATGGCCCTGGACCCCTCAATTGTGGGGCAAGGTGGCGCACATGCCTGGATCTGTTTTCAGTGGTGTTTGTGCCATGGGACAAAGTGCTACTCTGGTGATTAGGGTGGATAGGGAGTGGAGAAGCAAAAGTAGGGGAGTGGGGATGGATATTTCCATATTTTTAAATGGGTTGAGGGTTATTCTATGTCATTCCTTCTTGGTACAACCCTTTAAAAATAAGTGACTTCTATGACATGGAAATTCTATATGGAGGCAATGACTAATGGGCAACCAATGCTTCACAATTGGTTCACTGTCTATGGAACATTTTAACACTTGGGTTTCCCTGGATGTTTGCTAGTGCACACTCTATCCTAAGTGCATTTGGGATAGATGTAAACTCCAATTCAGAAGCGGTATGTACAACTCATTGGACACTATTTGCACGAAGCAGCCAATTTCATAAGGGGCGACTAATCCTAAAAGAGATGTGGGTTAGTCACTTTTGCACCCTTTTTCTTGGCTTGTCATTTCCAGACTAAGCTTCTGCCTATGCCATCATTTGTTTATGCTGAATTTTCTGCCTATGCAATATGTTAACTTCTTGTCTACATGACAAGTTGCTTATGCTGACCCTTCTGCATTTATGCCTTCGTCATGAGATGAAAGTCATTTGGTACTATTTCTGCACAATCTTCGTTCAAATCTGTGTTTCCCGCCCCAAGGTGTTTATGATAGGTGCTCTGTTGCGCTCTCAGAATAAACAGAAATAGCAGTGTTTGGTGTGTCGTGTCTAAATAAAGTTGATTTTTCTCCTACACATGTATTTCTTTGAAAACTCACCTGACAGCGACAGGGTTCCCCCTCTGTTGACAAAAACATAAATAAAAAATCAGATTCATTTTTAAAATGTCTATTTTTTTCAAGCAAGCACTGTAAAATATGCAGATTGTCATTCAGGCACTAAGTTTACTATAAAAATAATACAACCCTAACAAGATGATGCGAGTGTCATTTTACTATGAAGTAGTAATGATACTTCAGCATGCTTGTGATCTCCCTAGGAAATGACTAGAGCACATGATGAATGCGAAACCTGAGTGATGTGCTACGACTACAAATGGGCCATTATCTATTGTGACAGTTATGTGACTCCAAAGATGTTGCCAAGCTCCAGGACTTTGATGTGGCTTTATTGCCATAACTGTGACATTGCTTGGATGTCACAGGAAGCCTTGTCATTATTTAGCCATTTATACACATTCATAGGCCAAGTTTCACAGAAAATGTGAGGCTGATGGAGGAATACTTAAGATGTCCTAGGGGAAAGCATAGGTGGAAAATTTGGATTCTGTAATATTCTAGAAACTTAGGAAGCTGTCTTATACCGAGTCAGACCCATTGGCCATCAAACTCAGTACTGACTACACAGAACTAGCTGTGGTTGTGCATGGTCTCAAATAGGAGATGTCCCCAACTCCACCTGGAGATATTAAGGATTGAACCAGAGCCCTTCTGCATGCAAGACAGATGCTGTGTCACTGAGCTATACTGGTAGCATTGGAGGGACACGGGTAGTGCTGTGGTCTAAACCACTGAGCCTCTCGGGCTTGCCAATCAGAAGGTTGGTGGTTCGAATCCCCACGATGGGGTGAGCTCCCGTTGCTCGGTCCCAGCTCCTGCCAACCTTGCAGTTTGAAAGCATACCAGTGCAAGTAGATAAATAGATACCGCTGCAGCGGGAAGGTAAATGGCATTTCTGTGCGCTCTGGCTTCCGTCACGGTGTCCTGTTGTGCCAGAAGCGGTTTAGTCATGCTAGCCACATGACCCGAAAGCTGTCTGTGGACAAACGCCGTCTCCCTCAGCCTGAAAGCGAGATGAGCGTCGCAACCCCATAGTCGCCTTTGACTGGACTTAACAGTCCAGGGGTCCTTTACCTTTTTTTTTAAACCTTTTGTTATGTACTAAGTTTGGATCCTAGAACAATAGGCAAGTAGGATCCTTTACTGGTGGCAGTGTGTCTGACTATGTGTCTCTCTCAACCCCTGTGCTTCCTGACTTTCCAAATAATAGCATGAGGGGCTGACTGGTTGGGTTCAGAGTGTGATTAGCACTTCACTACATTACAGGGTGGCCCCTGTTGCATTGAAAGAGGTGGGGGCACAACTGCTCCTAAAGAAACTGACTCTGGACCTTTGGATTGGAACACCTATCAGCCCGTTACCAGTACCCTCTTTTGGGGAAAAGTGGTGGAGAGGGTCATGTTGGGGCAGCTGCAAGGATTCTTGGAGGACACATTCTTGGAGGACATTCTCGGAGAATTATTTAGGTCTATTCCAATCTGAGTTTAAGCCCGGCCATGCAAATGAGCCCTGATGCAGAGTGTGGGACAGGGGGAGTGTGACCTTGCATCTTCTTCTTGACGTATCATTGGCATTTGATGAAATTGACCAGGGTATCCTCCTGGACTGGCTCTGGGGAATGAGAATTGGGGACACTGTCTTAAAGTGGTTCCAGTCCTACCTTCAGGACTGAGTCCAGAGAGTTGCATTGGAAGAGTGCCTTTCAGCCTCCTGGTGGCTACATTATCTCCAGAGCTATTTCATATCTACATGACTGGATTACAGCAATGTGCTGTATGTGGGACTTCCCTTGTGCTTAATCTGGAAGCTGCTGTTAGTGCAGAATTCTGCAGCCGGAGTGAGGTAATTTTAAGCTGTATTAGTATTTTAACTTTTGTTTGTTTTAGAATAGGGTGATGAATTTTTGTTTTGTAAACCACTTTCCGTTTTTCTTTACAAAAGTGGTGTATAAATCTTATGATCATATGTCCATACATATATACATACATACAAAAAGTGCGAAGTGAAAGCCAGCTCCTTAGAATGTTTTGATGGCAATCTGGGCTTATGAGTTTTTCTTCAATGGTATTTATGTGTTCTGGATAACGTCTACTTAATACATGCCAAAAATAGTTTTAATGGCTTATTTAATTTGAGATCCTAATACTCCTGGAAAGGGTGATTTTTTACAAGCTGTTAAAGTAATTACATGATCGGCAAGTGCCAGTGTGAAATGTCTATATTATCCCTTTGATTTCAACCCAACATAACTCTGAAAGGCAATGTTTTCATAGGCGGATGGATGTTTCTGGAGGGCAGAGCCTAAATGTGGCTAAGTTCTTCTTAGCTCGTCTTTTCTACAGTTGTTTCCCCCTCTGCATTTGTATCCCATTCATTTGTCGAGATCTGCATGTGTCTTGAATCTGACCCAAATGAGTTGCTCGTGGGAACGAGGGGGCAGGTCATTCTCAGCTCCAGCCTCTGGAACTCCTCCTTGCCAGAAATGTGTCTGAGCCAAACTGTGACTTAGCTTTAGAAAGGACTTTAAAAAATGCTTTCCATTGTTCTACCCTCCTATAAATGGCAGGCAGTGGAATTTCACTTGGCAATTAGTATCCTTCCTTGGCTCTTATAACCCCCATTCAGAATAGTTCTATAGCTAGTTTCAGTAGCTTGGAAGGAAATTGGGCAAAATTTATTCCCTCTTTCTTTGGCTAGCTGAATTATGCAAAGTGCCCACAGGTTTTGCAATAGTAGGCAAAGTTAAACAAATAGAATAGTTAATTTGGAATGTTCTTGGTAGGTCATTTTTGTAAACAAAGCATCTTAGAGGGTATAGTTTTAGGAATATAGGCATTCAAAAATTCTGGTTACACACCATGTTATTGAGCATTATAACAACAGAATCTCATCGGATTTCCTGCCCTCTCTTTTTCCATTGCTGCTTCTCAGAAATACTAGCTGGGAAGAACTGCTTTAATGAATCAATTAAAAATTAACAATACATGCTCAATTTCCATTTCCCCCCAATTAAAAGAGAACAAAAGTTTTATGCATTTTAAGACTGACTTTCTGTCTTACGACAATCAATGAGCTGAATATAAATTCTGTGATCTGAAAGTCCTTGGGGCTGCAGTGCCCACACAAGCAGGGGCACCTGCCCCATTCAGTGTTTGCAACTTATGAAAGCACCAAGTGTTGCTTACCATTGAAGAGAGAGGGATGTATGTATTCCATGTGCTTAGCCTGTATGTGGTCCATGTCCAAGACTCAGCTAGACACAGCTAGATTCTTCTGAGTAGCAACTCAGTTTGCTACTGGGGAGCCAAAGAGAATGAAGTTGTTTCCAGTTCAACTTAATGGACTGAGCTGGAAGGGATAGGGAACTCAATTCCCCAGGCTCTCCCATGAGTAATAGGTTTTTTTTAGCATACAAGAATGAAGTCTGGATGTCTGCTGCCCACCATACTTTCTGCTGGTGCCTCCACCTCCCACCAGGACATGTTTTGGAAAAGCAGAGGATGATCCATGGGTTGGGTTGGGTGAGAGCTTTCCTGGGCTTGTTGTTTCAAACTTTTCTTTTTAAAAACCACAGACTCACATTTTTTCAGAACATTCTCCTTGAACCCCCTTACAAGAAGGGCTGGGGGGAATTTTCACAGCATTACTTAAGATGTGCACGAATGGTACCTAATTACATCTCACTCCGATAGCGCATGACAAAAGTTGTCCAGTTGTCCAGATATATATTGTAATAGATACACATGACCTTTTTGTAGAGGAGGATACTCAGATTCAGGTTTCAAGATGCACGTGTTAAAAGTGAACACTGGAAGGACCAGCTCTACAGCTGCAACAACTGCTGCCAACAAGATTAACCTGTGATATTTTTCAATAGAAGTTATTGAGTCAACCTGTCCAGATTTTGAAAAGGGAGAGTACAGTCTGAACTTGCTGCTAAGAAGAACCACAAGATTGGTGGAGAATCAAATTTTGGATTCAGCCTAAACACTGGTGCTCAAACATAGTTCTGCTCTAAGGAGGAGGAGGAGGAAGAGGAACAACAACAACAACAACAACAACAACAACAACAACAACGAGAGTCCTATCATTGATTTAAAAACATGCTTTGGATAAACACACAATTCAAAATCATTCATACACACACACACACACACACACACACAAATGTTTGTGTGTGTGTATGCAAAAATCTTGTTTCTCTCTTGCATATACTCTTATCCTATTTAAATTTCACATCTTTTCTCCTGGGTTCTGCTCTCTTATCATCATTCTAAGGTCAATTTTGCTCCAGCGAATCAGATGCTTGTATTGTTTCTTACTCCATCATGTAGGATCAGACAACAATTCTGGAATCAGTATGTGCTTTTTGTTATCTTACTGATTTTGATGGATTGTCATCCATGAGTTTGACTTTGCAGGGTTGAAAACATAGTATTACAATTTTTATTATTTTTTTTAGCAAAAAAACATGCCAGGAAAGTTAGACAGAAAGGTCATTGGAACAGTGTTTGATGAGGAAAGTTGCTTTAGATACTGTTTTGTAGCACATTTTTCCAGACAGTTGAATGGCACATCATTCCCATGGTTAGCAATTTATAGGGCTTGGAATTATTTAATCAGGAGATGCATATAGTTTATATGACAATCAAGTGGATGAAAATTCTGAATGGGGGAAATCACTCATACACTGAATGACACATATTATATGCCATGTTTATCTGGAGATAATGTAACTTCAATCTGGCAGACATTGCTGTGCATGGATTTCTACTGCACAGCTCGTTTTAAGCAGAAATGCTTAATATGTGGTGACAATAATTTAGGGCATATTGAACAAGTAAGAGCAAAATAGAAGATTTCAAATCTTTGACATTCACTTCTTGTTACAAGTTGTGCAATTTTCCAGAAGGCTGGTTACCAATAGCATGCGAAAAAATGTTAGTGCAGAGAAACCATCTTTCCCTGTTAAGTAGATCCTGGGCCCAAGGAGAGACACGGAACTGCAGGAGTACAAACAGAAATGAGGAGCTGACTGAAAACAAGATATCAATACCTCAGGAAAGGAAGGGGAACTGGACAGAATAGGAGAGCAAAGAAAATTACAGTGGTACCTCAGGTTACATACGCTTCAGGTTACATACGCTTCAGGTTACAGACTCCGCTAACCCAGAAATAGTACCTCAGGTTAAGAACTTTGCTTCAGGATGAGAACAGAAATCGTGCTCCTGTGGCGCAGCAGCAGCAGGAGGCCCCATTAGCTAAAAGGGTGCTTCAGGTTAAGAACAGTTTCAGGTTAAGAACGGACCTCCGGAACGAATTAAGTACTTAACCCGAGGTACCACTGTATCTAGCCAGGCCTGCCTTCTCTTAGAAATGGGTGCAGCTGGTGCATCAGCCTAATCTAAGCAAATAAATCTATGGTTGCAGCTGTCACTTGGGCATCTGGTATCACAGCCAGGCCCAAAAGAACCCTCAAATGATGAACCTGCACTGGCCGGACCCTCATTTCATTACTGACCATTAACTGAGCAGAATCACCTCTGGATTAAATTTCTGGATTAAGTTTCAGTTTAGCAATAATCCAGCTAATGAGCAGCCCAGAACTTCCACACCTTTCCAGGGGGTGGAGGAAAAAACTTTTCTTTTTTTTGGCCTTATGTGAGTATTAATAACCCTCCACCCCAGAGAGAAGAATCGTTGCAATTTATTAATCACAAGCAGGAATTCAAGAACTGTGTGGAGTGAATTATTGATCAAAGAGAGGACTGGTAAACATCGGAGAACGGAGGAAAGTTTTATGACGCAGTTTTAAATGGTGTCTCGCCAAGACAGGCTTGCCTAAGAAGGACGGGGGGAGGAGGACCAGGGTCACTGGAATGTGAATGGTGATTGGAATGTGATCTAAACCTGGCAGAGCCCTCTGAGATATGCTTGGCAAGCCTGGGAAAATCAACGGACAGACTGAGGGAAAGTTCTTTACAGAGGTGTGGAAATGGCGTCTGTTCTTATGTGATATGATATGATTTTTGGAGAGTGTAAAACCCACACAGAGGATGTATGTTTTCAACCTGCTTGTGAAGATTATCAGAGATCGCAAAGAAAGGAATATATGATAACAACAAGAAGATGAGGAAAGTAACAAAGAGACTATCTGGACAGAACTGGATAGAAGTGTCTAATTAAAGCAGCAATATAAGTGATGCTTGGACCCCTGTTCGGAGCTTGAAGTATGGGGACCCCCAACAAAAAATTAAAAATTGGGCTGTATAATTTGGAACTAATGTGATTTGGAAATAATGTGATATGATTGGCCTGTTAATAAAAATTATATTAAAAAAAAACTTCCACACCTTTCCAGCCATGGACAGAATAAATTGAGCATTAAACTCAAAATCAATGTATCACCTCCCCCGGTGGTTTCATGTTGATTTCAAATAGTATGGCGGGTGGAACAGAACTCTGTGGAATCTCCATATGCCAACAACCAAAGCGGTGGGCAGGAAGTCCTCCAGCAGCACTTTCTGGGACTGAACCTCTGGGAAAGAATGGAAGCACTGCAAAATGAAGCCTCTGAGTCCCAGCCCAGCCAGGTGATCTGTTTGCTCAGACACCTGGCTTGCTCAAGACCTGTATATTTGAAAGCTGGTGAGAAATTACCGAGTACAGTGGGGTCTATAGAGAGCTTTTTAAAAAGTGCTCTTATTTCAGCCTCTTTTAAAATCAGTGGGATTATGCCTGCAATTACCACTCCAGATACCTACTCAGCCAAACCACCTCTCCATGCAATTGGCTTCATGTCTCCAGGAATGCCGTCCACATCCTCAGTATTGAAAGGTAGCAAATGGAGAGGCAGGTGGCACAGGTCCATTGGCTGAACATAGAACATAGGAAGCTGCCTAGTACCATGTCAGACTGTTGGTTCACCTAACTCAGTATTGTCTCCAGCCCTCCTTGGAGATTCTGGGGGTTGAACTTGGGATCTTCTGAATGCTACGTATGAAGGACTTAAGTATACAATCCACCCATTTTTCTGCCCACCTAAGTCTGTAGCACATCCTCATTCCTGAAAGAATGTAGGCCCATGGCCCAGCTACACAGGGCCTTCTCTCCTTTGTGAACATTTGGTGCTTTGCAATTTTAATTGGGTCTGGCATAAGTGCTGTCCCAATGGGCAGTTGGTGGTAGCCTCCCCATCTCCTCCTGTGCCCCGTCAGTCCTTGTGGATTTGAGAAAGGACATTTCTTGGAAAGCAAACACATAAAAAGAGTCCTGCTGGATCAGGTCAGTAGCTCATTTAGTCCAGCATCCATTTCCCACGGTGGCCAACCATGAGGGAACCATCTACCTGAATGCTATAGCCCTCTCCCTTCCTTCAGGTCTCTGTAACTGTAATCCAAAAGCATATTGCCTCCAACTGTGGAGGTATAACAAAGCCATCGGGGGCAGTAGCCATTAGTTGTATCCTTTATGAATTTGTCTAACTAAAGCCATCTAGGCTGGTGGCCATCGTTGTCTCATGTGTGAACAAATTTTAAGCACCATTGAAATCACAGTGCATATGCAAAAGGATTTCATTTTATAGTTCTAAATATCGCCAGTATCTGACTTGAATAGTGCTAATCCTTGTGAACTCATCAATTTCCAAACAAATGGGCAATGACTGCAAAAACCATGGACTGTAAAATGGAATACCTTCTTCTTGCATCTGGTTAGCACCCATCGTGTTTCTAAAAAGGCACTTGGAAATGCAAATGTTCAGGCACATCATTGGAACTGTAGAATAATAAAGGTTTCTTAAGGCTAGGAACTGAGTGTTTTACTCCCTCCCCCGCTTAAAGGGAATTTATTAAAATGAAAATAAACTCTTTTAGGAGCAATTGTTTCATAAAAGAAACATGAGTTTGTTCTGGCAAAGATGTTTATGATTTATGTTTCACTCTGTAAACTTGGCCAAGCAATTTCCTTCTTTCTGATTGGTGAATGCAGTGGGGTGAGGGAGGGGGGCAGGGAGCTATAGGGATGGCATCTGCTCTTGGAGCAATAGGATTATGTTTATTCATGACCAGTTTATGCGGGAAAAATGCATCAAAGGGTTTATTTGAATTTTTGACAAATTTGCCTTGTTAAAAAAAAAAGTCTTTTCTTAATTGGACCTTATAATAATAAAAATGCAATGATTGCAAATGCAAATGAGAAATAATAAGAATCTGAAGAGCTTTTTCCTCTCCCCAGGACCACTAGCGCTTGGAGTGATGGGGCATCTTTTTATAAGAACTGTTTCTAACACTAGGCTCCCTGCACGGATGTAGTGGCCATATTTAACAAGCCTGTGCTTTGCCATAGAGCTCTTCCATATACCTTTCCCCCACTTGAGAGCAGGAGATAGGTTTATTACCATAAAAGTCAGTAACCTTCTTTCCTTGCTGACTTTCTTATGCTGAATAGGATTTTCCATCAGTTTAGTGACTGTCACTCAGAAAGTCAGTTTTCAGAATCCCTCCTGCTTAATTTGTTAATTTTAGTAAGGAAGGGGAGAATGGCTGGGAGGGAAAATATCTCTTAAACATTCGCCTACTCTTTTTTTTTTTTTTAAGCTGCTTGGGTGTTCCTTATGGCCTTGTCACAGGATGCTTGCAGAGTTTGAGAAGAGACATGCCAATACTGCTAACTTTTACAGCAATATAATCTATTGCTTTGGGAAGATGTTTTCCTTCTCCTTTGCCATCCTTATTTTCACTTGATGATCATTCTGGATAATAGGAGTCACTGTTTTCATATAATCTGATCTTCCATACACAAAGCCTAGGTTACTATGTAGTGCTACAGTCAGTCTTATAATTTTTTTCAGCCTTATTTTTACATTGCTGTGCATAGGACTGTAGCTTAGATTGTAGAACATGCAAGATATTCCTTAGTTCTTGAATAGAGGATGTGTTCCGTGCCATAAAAGGCAATGATCTGTCTCTCTCTCTCTCTCTCCTAATTGCATGAAGTGGCTCAGTGGTTCTGGCCACCATTATTCGTTGTTATTTTACTAACCTTTGTATCTTGTCTTTCGGCTCGCGGTGACACACAGGGGATTTCCATTCTATATTCACAACAACCTCATGACACCAAGAGACAGTGTCTGGCTCTAGACTACCACTTGAGTTACTTGGGTGTTTCTGATGCACACCCAACAAACTCTCAACATATACAAACCACTCCCACCCTGTTCAGTTTGGAACTGGGTTCAGTAAATGGAACTATTCCTAGTGGAATACGACATTGGCTTTTCCAAGCCTAGTTCTACAACTCAGACCTTGTGGCAGTCTCTGTCCCGCAGCCCCTTACTATCCCTTTCCCTTTCCATTCCACCCACATGGTGACAGTGGAAGACAGGTTTCACTAAAGGCACCTACAGAGGCCTCCCTCTCTGGCACCTTCATACCCCACAACAGTCTCAGAAGAAACAGGACACCCCATTCCCCCCCACAAGAGCACAACCACCATTTGGGGAGCTGTGCTCTAGTGCAAATTCAGCACTTTTTGAGGGACCACAATCTTGTGCACAACAGCAGCGTTGTGTGTTGGACCTTAAAAGTCTTCAGGGTGTCGGACAACCATAACAAGGACTTAGTTGCTAGGGGGGCGGGAAGGTGATATTCTGTAGTCCATAACACCTGGGGTGATGTTGTTACAGTGTTCAGTTGCAATGTCAGTTGCTAAGGAAGGGCAAAGGCAAAAAAAGGCTCCAGCTCACTTATAACCCAAACCAGAGAAGATTGCGGAGTAGCAAATGCCTCTCACTTTATAATGCAACTGAGAATTATGAACTTGACAAGTTTGAGTTTTGAGCCAGGTAATTATGAACTTCAGGGACCTACTACTATCTGCTGACTACTCCATACACGTGAGTCCATCAAATACCTGCATATCAAAGCTTTCAATAGTTGAGATTTTCATAACCGCCATAGACATTTCAAATATCTCCCTTTGTAACTCTTATAACAGAGAAGCATGAAGTGAAGGGAAAGAATCAGATGTGATCCCTCCACACTGTGGCCCTGTTTTAGGAGATTAGAGCACAGAAGAATGTCTTTGATTGGCGACCAATTAAGTAGCAAACCTGCAGGAACAGAGATCTTTTATTTGACTGCCAGATGTGGAAGCTCCAGAAGAGCATTGTTCAGGGAACGACCACTGTGAGTGGAACTCTTACTTTTTTCCTTTTGATTTTCAACTCTCATCCCTGCAGACAGAAAAATGAGGGCTCAAAATGTAGAACTCTCTGAAAAGAACAGAAACACTTTTGTTTGTTTGCTTAAGGCCGGCTTTTGAAAAGACGAAGTGTTTTTCTCATTATATATTCCATTTTCATTGAGGACATCTATAAATCATTCTTCAGAGTTTGGGTTTTGCAACAACAATACTCCTGGACACATGGCCTGCCCTTATGCACACATCCAAAGGGGACCACTGGCTTGACCCCAGTGCAGAAGTGATCCCTCCTGCAGCATTAATGAGAGAGAGCCCTACAGACATTCAGTTGTGTGCTCAAAATGCTCTTCTTGGTAACCAGCAACCGTGCACTAACCAACTCTCCCCAGCTGAAAGGAAGAGCCCTCCATATGTATAGCTTACACATGCATATCCCATGCAGCCAATGAAGCTGTGGCCAGCAAACATTCTGCTGTTTGGGTAATGGAGCCAGGAGCCACGATCCTTGCTCTTGCTTCATGTGCTTGATGAACACATGTGTGGGGGGGGTCATGTGTGCAGCTCCCTAGTCAGCCTTTTTTTGCACAAAGGAACATAAGAAGAGCCTGCTAGATCAGACCAAAGGCCTGTCTAATCCAGCATCCTGTTATCACCGCAGCCAACCAGATGTCTATGGGAAGCCCAAGCTTACATCAGCAATTCTAAAGCGGCATATCATGCAATGATGTGCCTGGTGCCATCTCTATGGTAGAGTTACACAAGGAGGAATTCAACACCTCAATTGTTCCATTGCATACCCTCCAACATTTCTCCAATGAAAATCGGAACGTCCCATTCCATAATTATAATTTTACTATTTATACCCCACACATCTTAACTGGGTTGCCTAGCCACTCTGGGCAGCTTCCAACATATATAAAAACATAAGAAAGCAGTAAACATTAAAAAAACCCCCAACCTTCCATATACAGGATTGCCTTCAGACGGCTCTGGTGTCAGAGAACCCTCCAACATTCTTCCAATGAAAATAGGAACCTCCTACCATACCCTCCAACATTTCTTCAGTGAAAATAGGGGTGTCCTAAGGAAAAGTTAGATATTCTGGGATCAAATCAGAAACCGGGATGGCTTCTCTAAATCAGGAATGTCCCTTGAAAATAGGGACACTTGGAGGGTCTGCCACTGGGCAAGTTTTTCAGCTTGCAAGATAAAACAACCCCCTCTTTCCTCCCCCATGTACTGTTGCATCTGAGCTCAGAGCAAGGCAAATTAAACCTGTCATCCACAAACAGACACAAGCCAGACTTTACATGGTCACATAACACAAAACAGTCTACATACAAACCATCCATTTAGGCAAAATCTGTTTCTTTCACAGTCATGGTTGCCTTTAACAAATGGAACAGTTACCTGCTTCCATCTTTGCGTAAGCCTGTACTTGATGTTTCACTGATTCCTCTGCTAACGCTATCTGTGTTTCTATCAAGAAGAAAAGAAAACCACTAGGTATCTAACTAATCTAGGACTATAATGTGTGGATCCAATTCCATGGTGAGTTCTTTTCTGTTTTCCCTCTTCCAGGGCACTGACCTCTGAACATCACTCTGGAAAGTGTTGCTTCTTCCCTGTGTAGATGCTGCCCCTTGGGAAATACTCCAGAATTGTCCTTATGGGTAAGCGACTGCACAGAGCTGCCACAATATCACCCATGGTTCGTTACAACTTATATTTATTTGCATTTTCCCAACAGACAGCTTTGGAGAGCATTGACTTACCAATTATCATAGTTCATAGGAGCAGCTACAAATTTCAATCCCCAGGGTTACTGGAACTGATTTGGGATCATATCATTATTCTGGAGCAGGTGCTGTTAAGAATGTTTCTATATTTCAGGATCTCTTGACCTTTCTTCAGGGCACACATAGCATGTCTTAATAATGAACAATGTCCACACATCAGCTCTAATTCAAACTTGAGCTCTCCCAGAGTTTGAAATATGCACAGAGAAAGTCTATGCAGATGGTCCTGAATTTTAATATTGGAAAAAGTCACAGTAAAACAAAGTTAACTTCTAAAATTCAGTGATAAATCACAAAATGGTAGTTATGATTCTCTGGATGTCTTAATTAAATGCATTTCTCTCTCCTAATTTGATATGGCTCAATGTCAAAGTCAAATTAGCACTGCCTCTCTCTTATAATGCTTCAACTTGAACTGTCTGCTACAAGTCAGAAATTGAATCCTGGACACAGTGTTCAGGCTCACTACTTCTTACTGCAGATCTGAAAATTAATATTTTCATTTTTTTTGCCTCATCTATCATCATAACATTATTGACTGCTACTTTTTTTCAGGGTTTTAGTGCCTCTCAGAACTCAGCATGGTACGTGATTACATTTTATGGGTGGGTCCTCTGTCCAAAACAATTTTGCACAAATGAAAACCAAATTCTGCAAGCAGAAACATCAGAATCTGTGCCCAGAGCATATCACTTATGTCTTTCGCAAGGAGAACCATCTTGTGATTGATTGCAATGAAAATCTCTTAGAAATGAAAAATGAGTTTTCCAAACCTGAAACATAGGGTTAAGGCCAGTGTGCATGCCAAGCTTCACTCATTTGATAACTTAAGGCTGGTATATTTTAGTAATCAAACCTGTATGTATGTAATAATATTCGGCTTTCCAAAATGCAAGTCTATTTTCACGCTGCCCTCTGCACAATCTGATTTTCATGGTCTATTGGAAGCTACCTGCTTCATAGTTATTTGCAACTTGGCTCCTGAGAATAGCTCATGAAATGTATTTTGTTTTCAGAAACAGCAATTATTTGTTAGCTATCCAAATATTGTACAAACTTTTGTTTTTGAAAGCTAATCCTGGTTTGTTTCAGGACAGGCAAACATGCTGGAATGTATTAGGCAGACTCAACAGAATCATCTGCGCTGTTTATATTTAATATATGTGCTGCCCAAGTGAGGCTTATAAGTACAAAGGCTGTTGCACTTTTGGGAGGTTGCACACCCTTATTATTGTTAGCTTTCAAATGTATAATTTAGTATACTACACATTTTTTATAAGATCTACTTAGAGAATACTAACCAGGTACATACAATAACATCATTAAACAGCTTAGTGCCTCAGGGTTACAGACTCTACTGCATCCTGCAAAGTAGCACTTAGAAGCATTATGAACAGGTGCTGTCACCTTGCAGTCTTTTATGAAGCATAGTCCTGGGAATGCAGAGAGAGTTAATAAGCAAGCAAATGGAACAAAGTCGGCCGGAGCCAAACTCTTCCTCTGTGATGAACTACTGAGATTGTGTGTGATGAGCAGTCGAGATTCTTCATGTTTCTTCATTACCCTTTTCGTCACCCAAAAAATGGTGCAAATGATGAAATGCAAGGGCACTGATCACCACAGATCAGGCCCACACCCCTCACATTTAGAGGCACCTCTAAATAAAACTGCTAGCACATTTGAAAAGCTAAGCATGGGCTGGTATGGTTTCAAATTGAGGGGAGTGCATGTTGAGATTCCTGCATTGCAGGGGGTGCCTTCCAACTCTGTGATTAAATCTGAATTTCGATATGGACCAAACCGATGTGAACTCTCAGAACCATCTGCATAGAGCAGACCACAACAAGCAGTTTCCGCATTTCTCTGAATTTTGCAATGCAGATATGCGCTCAAAAAGTGCACAGAAATAAACAAGCATATGCCAAATACATGGCATACATATATAAACTACAACTCAAAACAAGTAAAAAAAAAAATTTTTTTTAAGTATTCCAGTACATTTTATGTGCTTCAGTACTATTCATACTCCAGAGGTACCCCAACCTTGGGAGGATGTGTGGGGAATGCCACTTGGAGGGGAGTGTAAAAGTCCCCATGCACAAGCAGAGCAACCACTCATACTGATCTATATCTCAGCTACTGTGCACACAATGTACATGGGATGCACAACCATCCTGTCTGAATTCTACTGCATGAGCACATGGAAGGAAGCTATGATTGCACCACTCTGCAAAGCATCTACATGCAATGAAAGAGCTCTACACACATTGTGTTCCTCTTTCAGATTTGACAGTGCACTTTCAATCTGCAGTCCTTAGCCATAAAAGCAAGTGGCTGGACAGGTATAATTTCCCCCCAGCCCATTTTGTTAAATTTCACTTTCTTTGCTTTTGATTGATAGCGCAATGCTAGCAATCTGCAGTATAGAGACTCCTTCCTTCTCCTCATCCAGGATGAGAGTGCAAAGCCATCTCTCCTTGCTTAGTGCCCTTGCTTGATGGGTAGATTGCATACTGTATGCTAAGTACAGTGATGACCCCTAGATGCACCCTGTCACCGATCCAGCTGCTTGCCACTGCTGAGATTATCCACTGTGCCATCAAATCACTCCAGGACAACACAGGTTGCCTCACCTTCACATGTGGTATTTTATAACAGGATTAAGCAGTAAGATTTGATGACACTTCACACAAGTACCATACCGTTTGCAAACATACCAGTCTCTCAATCAGATTAGCTGACAGTATGAACTCTTGCCATGGAGCAGTTGCTCATTTTGAGATCTGATCTGACAGTCTAAGGATGCAGAAAGGGGGATGCCTTCGTAAAACTAAGTGCCCCTTCTTCTTAAAAAAGAAAGGAAGATGGGATTAAGGCACTGCATTACAATGCCCCCAAGACCAGCTGCATTTTTAGAAAGAGAAATACGACCAACAACATGAGATTGGCTCAAAGGATAGGCTAAACTTGTGTGTGTGCACAGCAGCCCAGAATGCTGATACCAGAGGGCTCCCTGAGTATTCATAACTGCAAAGGCAACATGGGGAAAAGAGTCGTCCTAGTCACATGTTGCCCATGAATCAAAGCCATTGGGAGGAAGTCAATGTTGCACAATGTTGAACATTCCACCACCACAAGCATATCAGCTCACCAGGCAGAACATTTTCCCCTCTTGTCCCCCAGCACAATTTGGGGACTGCAGGGATGTTTAGGGGGAAAGAGGGGGGACCCCATTGTGCATGGGACTCGTTCCTTGAATACTGACCATCATATACATTCTGCAGAAGAAGGTAGACTGAAGTATTTACTGTAACATTTAGGGAAGTTTTTAATGTTTGATGGTTTATTGTGCTTTTAATTCTGTTGGGAGCTGCCCAGAGTGACTGGGGAAACCCAGCCAGATGGGCGGGGTATAAATAATAATAATAATAATAATAATAATAATAATAATAATAATATGATGGCAGGCGAGGATCAATTTTTTAAATCCTCCTTGCATATAGTAAATCAGAACATCAGGGAGTGAGCTACACTAAACCTAATATTCTGGGGATTTTTTATATGCATTTTTAAAAATGTTGTGGAACTCTAAAAGATAGAGTCCCACCACTTATGAACCCTCAAGAACCCTGCTCACATGTTAAATTTAAAGTTTGGGAGCTGTTTCTGTGTAGTTACAGCAATGCTCAGGTAATGAGAAAAGGCCCAGCCCAGAGCCCACACTGTGCCTTTTCTTCATGACAACATTTCTTCAATTTCTGAGAGAGCCTGGATTGGCTTATGTTACCTGAGAAATTCATGAAGGGGCATGTGGGTGTTCTCCTGTCTACATTCTTCCAGATTTCTCTGTATCTATGAGGACTATAACCCTGCAGCACTGGTCTTCATCCTGTGGATTGGGATCCACTACTACATCATGACCGGATCTAAGATGGGCTGCAACAACAGCACCACCACAATACCACGAATGTTTCACATGGTGAAAAATTAAGAAGCGGATCCCCAAATGCATGTTTGGGTTAAAGGTGGGTCTGAAAAGGCTGCTGACATAGGGGATAAACAAGCAAATCTAACTTTCTGCCATTTTCACAAGAATGCTACTTCTCTCACTTTCTCCATGCTCCCACAAGGATATCCGATCTGAAATCCCAACAATTGTTGTTTGGCCATTTTCCTGGGAGAGCTGAATGGAGGTTGGGTCCCCCAGATCAATAGATTTGAGGGCAGTGGGAGGTCTGGCATTGGCCAGGTTGGAAAAAGGGAAAATAGGCAATTGTTGGCTGTTGTTCCTTCTTGTCCATCCTCAACTGTCAGCCTCTCTCCTTTGCTGTGCTGCTGGTAAACCATACGCCATCCAAGACTTGATTGCAGATGAGGGGCCTGATCTGGCATATATTACAGTGACTGTGTGATCTGGGCAGGCCTGATCTGTCCCAGCTGTGCTCACAGAAGTATTCATTGCAGCATCAGCATAAATTGGAGGTGTGTGTGAGCTGCTGTCATTCATAAAAATAATCACTCAGCTGATGATTTGAATGTGTGAATGGCCCATCACAGATTAGAACATTGCTGGCAGAACATTCAGGGTTCCTCATTACCTAAATGCAGTGCTTTTCGGCAGAATGAATTGGCTGTCTGTCATGAAGTGCATAATAATTGTTGTGTACATGCATGTGCAAACCAGGTCTCAGTCACTATTATTCCCATTTTATGGATAGTCAAGTTGGCAGAGTGTGCAACTTGTCAAAGATCATACAATGAGTACGTTGCAGAGAAAAGGCTTGAATTTTATTCTTTGTGAAGCCAGAACAAATGCATGATGCAATAAGTCACTAAACCTTGGGCTATCTATGGGCTCATCTATTGCACTTTTGGAATATTATGGAACTATTTCTATGTCTTTCTGTGTAGGTAAATTGCTTCCCACTCTGGTGAAGAATGTGATTTCAGTTAGGGTAAATTTCACTGAGGAAGAAAGCAGTTCCATTGACTAGTTTGGCCAGCCTCTCTGTAGTCTTAACCAAACAATCTAGAATAGTAAGTTTGTATTTGTCTGTTGAAAAACAAGTGGAGGGGGGGGGGCAGAGGAACATGGTTGTGTCCCAATAGCTCATCAAATCCTAAGCCAAAATGATATCCTTTGAATGCAAGTGGTATTTATTTGCACAGGTTTCCATATTATTACTTCTGCATGCATTAAGAGCCCTTTAAATCCCACTATAACATGAGAATCATGTGAGCAGCAGCATACACCTGATTCATTTTACAGTACCACTATTTTCACAAGCTACTTTTCTACCTCCCTTGGTACCCTGAAGTAATTCTAAGCTTCACTTATTATAATGCATTGCTTACCTACAGATTGTTTCTCTTACTTGAATTGTGTTGTTATTTCCTGTCTGTCTCCATAGCAAATCCTCCCCAGCAAAGGGCGATAGTCACTGGGGCCCTGTGTTTGTTTGTTTATTTATTTTTATAGCTAAGCTGTCTTCTGACCTTTGCTGTAAAGAGAAAGACTTTATGCATTGGTGTGACTGCAAATGGTATGTGCAATCATTCCTTACAATTCGGTTCACTAAGAAAAAGTAATCAGGTTGTCCTGCATGCTGGGACCATTTCCTTGCCAGCTGGTATTCTAACTTGCTGTGGTCTGTGGTTGTTCGCTCCGAGTGATCTTCATACGGTCATCACTTGACCTTGTAGCTTGAACCACGAGTGCTTTACTGAGCTCCATATCCATTGAATTATTTTGTATTTCACAAAGCATGTGAGTTAGCCAAATCTGAGCTTGACTCATCTTCCTGGGTTTCTCCCCAGGAAGAAATTTTCTAGTAGAATAACCTCCCACACACTGTGTGGTTGCTGTTCAATGGGGGATGGGGATGTTTCCTCACTAAGTCACAAAGTGAAGCATCTTAGGACTATTGGGGCTTTCACAGCTCTTACTGTCAGAAAGTTCTTCCTGGTGTTTAGTCAGAATCTCCTTTCTTGTAACTTGAATCTTCCTGATTCAAGTCCTACCCTCCAGGACTGAAAATATATAATTTTCAAACAACAACAACAACAGCAACAACAATTGCCAGTCTCACTAAATCAGAGCAACCCTTTTGTATCCTCTTCCGTTTGCCTTTGCTGGCATGGAGAGAAGCTGGCATGAATGCCTGAGGTGTAATATGCTTTTAGATGAATAGCAGCACTTCTGGCCTATCACCATGCAATTACAGACAGACAAATCTGTGGATTTAGCTTTCTTTCAGGTTCTCATCCCTCCCCCCCCCCCCGTCTAAAGTTCACATCGCCACATTCCCACATCAGTTTGATAATGTTAGTTTAAAAAGCCCTCTCAACAGAAGTGCAAATTTTGAATTTCAGTTTGAATTTCAGTTTCAGGACCTGTGCATCAAGTAGTTTCACACTAAAATGCAGGCAGAACTGAACCATCCCATCCCTAAATGGAATGTCCTTCATGCCACCATCTACATCTCAAGAATCCACCTTACAAAAGGGTGTTTTAAATACAATTCCTTGCTGAGCCTCTCTTTTTTTAACAAACTCACACAACATTATTATTCAAAGCATAGGCTTCTTTTAAAGCAGAGTTTCCTGCATCCTATCACACATCATTTGGTAGGGTTACCGAAGTATTGGCTTGGACAAACTATGGAAGCTGTGAAATGATAATGATAATGAGCTCTCAGTGACTGCTGTGTTAATCTTGACAATTTTGCCTTTGCTGCTAGATAATATTACCAGAATATTCCTATATTCCCCAGACTACGTAGAGGAACACTCAGTGTAATTTCACTCCTTGGATGCTTATTACAGGGAATACTCTGGAAATGTTAATTCCTTGCCAAGGCATTTGTAACTATCATAATGGTGACGATGATACCTCTGTATAGCCTCATTCCAACCAAAGTATCCCTAGGCACATTACAGATAGCAGTTCAGGTTAAGAAATAGAGAAGATTACAGAAACTAATTGGAAGAGCAGGAAGGATTAAAAAACCAGAATGGCATTACTTGTGCTGTGGAATGGCCAAAGTGAGGGGAGATCACAGTTGTAGTCCCACGGCAGGACAGGCATTTGATATTTTTCATGTGTGTGCACAGCATATGTAAACAATGGCCAGTCACTAGATATCTTGAACCTCATTGTAGATATCCCTCAGCCTTCAAGCTGGTCTGAAGCACGATCCCTGGGGGAGGCAAGCTGCAGACCACCTTGGAAGAGAATACATAAGACCTTTAAGAAGAGCACCGCAAAATTAGACCAAAGGCCCAGCTCGTCTCTCCCACAATGGCCAACTAGGTAGTGGTTGGAAGCCCAAAACAGGACACAACCCCAATAGACTTATCCCACTCACAATCCCCATGTGGTATTCAGGATGTACTATTTCTGACCCTGGAAGAAGTATACAGCCTTTATCTGCCATTTTATCCATAAATTTGACTAATTCCCTTTTTAAACCATCTTGAGTTCCATAGTTTATTTGCTGTATGGAGAAGTGCTTCCTTTTTTCTGTCCCATATCTCACACTATTCAGTTAA